GTCGGTTAATTTTTTTTTCAAACCACGGAATATTTTTTTGTATACCGGACATTATATGGCATAAACGTCATAACTTCCTCCAAAAGACATTCTCTTTTTTTTTTCATTAAAATCTACACATGTAGAGCTTTACATGCATATATAATACATAATTTTTTGGCTTCTGAATCGTTCCAAACTTCCCGTTGAAGTAAGTCAACAAATATTATTTTTTTAACCATTGAACATTTTTTTTGCTAGTGGGAAGTCTGTGGAAACAACTTCATAACTTCCTCCACAAAACTCCAAAAGACTATCTATTTTTTTCATCGTAATATACATATCTAGAGCTTTTTCAAACATATATAATACATATTTTTTTTTATCTTTCCAGGCTTTCCGTTGAAGTTAGTAAAAAAAAATAAACCATCAAACATTTTTTTGTACACCGAACAGTTTGTGGAAAAACGTCATAACTCCCTCTACAAAATTCTAAAAGACTTTCTGTTTTTTTTTCATTAGAAACTACACATATAGGGCTTTCCAATCATATATGATACGTTTTTTTAATAGTTTTGGATCATTCCATATTTCTCTTAAAAGTTGGTTAAAAATACACAGACACACAATTTGGAGACAAAAATGAACATTCTTAAAATTGAATATTCTAAACAAAATCTTAATTATTTATGTGACCTAAAAAACTAAAATACTTCATGAATATCATAAAAAGTCATATATTCCAATACATAGATTGGAGATCTCAAATGACTTGGGAAATTCAAAAGCTTATTCAAATTCGGTTGTTTCTATCCACCGGACAACATGTGGCAAAAACATCATAATGTACTCTACATAATTCCAAAAGTATTTTTGCACACCCCAACATAATGGTATTGCGGAATGGAGAACTCAAGTTTTAAAATAAATGGTAAACTCGATGCTTTGTTACTCCGGATTATGCGAGGGATTTTATGGAGAGACCATGTTAACTACTTGTTATTTATTAAATAGGAATCCAAATAAAATGAACAAAACACCCATATATAAACTTTGGTTCAAGAAAAAAACTAAATTTGATTTATTTTTGGGTTTAGGGTTGTCAAGTTGTTCTCAAACTACGCAAACCCAAAAGGAATACTTAAGGTGAATATAGAATTGACAGTATATTCATTATACATGTAGAAAATTCCAAGGGCTATAGGTTATATGTAATATAATCTAGTGATTCGGTGTTGATTAGCATTGTTATTGAGTGAAAAAATGCAATTTTTGATGAAATGTGTTTTTCATCAATACTAGGGCCAAAGGGTGTGACTTTTAGCAATAATTAAGTACAAAAGATGCAGAATTGCCAAGAATTTCAATCCCAATTTCCATATATATATATATATATAT